AAATATAAATGTTTGAGAAAATTCGTTACGCAGTAAGTTAATTTAGACTTACGAGTTTGTCCATATTTCGTGGTGGAAGTGTAAAATCCAAATTTTTATTGCGGATATGTACCTTGAAAAACAATTTGTTCAATTTTCATAGGCTACTAACTGAAGTATTGCAGTAGAATGGCTCATACGAGAGTAATTTAAAAAAAAATAATTATAAAAAGCCTGTAACGTTCAGAATAAACATATCATTTTAGAAGTACTTGGTTGAATAAGGGACAAGTCTACCGCCACTTCTAATCAAAATAAATATTTTTTGCTGTATTTTTTTTCTCAGAAATGTATGACACTATTAAATGTGCATATCACCAAGTTTCAAGCGATACTACTTTCATAATTATATACAAGGCAACTTTTAGTTGTATCACATATACCTTCCTTTTAGTCCACATACTGTATTTTCTAGATATGGCATTAATATGTATACCTTATAACATAATACATAAAGTACAGAGTTACGAGGAAAGTTAATTACAGTTATTTTTCGATTGCCTCTAAATTGCGTTTTTACACACATGCACTACTCGGCAAAAATGTTGTCTCTTTCATATTCTCTTTTCTCCCATGGAGGTACAAATATTTTCATAAGCGTAGCGCAAAGCACTAAACCACCTAGGGGAGGACAAGTAGCGCGGAGTAATGAAAACGCACGAAAAAGATGGAACGTAATTGAGAGTTTTATGGAGAAAAAAAAAAAGAAGTATACAGCCAGTTGCATACATGTATGTGAATGAATCTACAAAAAGCCCAATTTATTAAGTCCTATGGTAAAACTGCCTTTTTGAGGTACCTACACCTTTGAACTATTAGTCCTCATTATTCACATACTTCCGTGAATGTGACAAAATTAGTTACCTTTGAGTGAAAAAAAAATTGACATTTCGTCTTTAGCGTTAACGTGATGATGATTAAATTATGTTATAGTTCAATCATCATCATTTAATTTACTAATATATTTCTAAATCAATGTTTAAAAATTTTCTTTTATTTTAATTTGAAAATCCAATTCGTGCACCGAGTCATCCATAGCAGTACTTGTATTGTTTAAAATTATATTTCGCCGAATTGTATTGCTACGCATATTAACGAGGCATGTCGGTAGGAACAGCCTTTTAACCATGGATTTGTGATTATTAAAGTGCTATTTTAATGTGATACCCAAATGGCACCACCCACTCGTATTATCTTTTAATTTGACAAATGGCCATGGTTCACAAATGTGATAATTCAAGTCAGTCACGCGATGAGCACTACATAAATAGAGCGGCAGAAAATTACATCAAAAATCATATCATAGATGGGTCACATCACTCTCGCCGTGAATAGACAAAAAATTTGCTGGAAGTACTTCTCTGTCTACATGATGTCATTTATAGCACGCTATCTCTATTTACACGCACACCCACATATTTACGTATTTGTACACAACGTGAAATATCATTTAGATCTAGAATTAAGATTAAAAAAAAGCTGAAACGACAATTATCGGGATTTGCCAAATAAAATTATTACTATTAAACTGACCACCATCGCGACAGCTAAATTAACATTTTGCTAACATAAAATTAATTCGAACAAAAATTATTTTTCTCTTTCAACTTTACTAATTTTAAGTAGAAAAGAAAATTAAAAGAACATCCAATCCTCAAGTCGTTTAAAGCAAATCAAACAGTACATTACCACAAAATCGAGCAAGAAAATCATGCGGCCAATTCGCGTAGATATTTACATAAAGAACTAACTAGCCCATTAACATTATATTAGCACAGCTCGTCTAATCACGTAAGGCAATCACTTGCTTTTCACTTGTATTGTTCATAATATACGGTTGTACCTTTTGAAAGTAGAATACGTTTTGCTATTAGTTTTTTGATCCAATTATTCTATGTTTTTTTTCTCGTTATTTGCACCTTTGTGTCTTTTACATGAATGAATTGATTGTCGGTTTAACTTTAGTTAATTTTTTTTATAAGCCACGCCAGTTATTTTTCCTTGTGCAAACACTTTTACTACTGTATACATAAACAGGGGGTGAGTTGATGGATGGTGTCGAGGAAACAAAACAAGGGGGTGAGGTGGATATACAGTGTTGCGATTGTCACATAACATCAATTCGCTCTTCGACATTCAAATTAGATACCTTCTCCCCAGGGTTAGCTGTTACTGAGCAGTGGGCACGTACACAGTGGTGGTGGAACACCTGCAAGCTCTTTCGAAGGTAAAACAAAATTTCCATGAGGGCAGTAGCCCTCCATGACACGACGCCTGATAGTTATACTATCTTGTGTGTAAGTGTACGGTATGGTATATGCACTCGCACGAATAAGGAAAAGGAGAAATTTTTCGTGCTGCGCTGCTCTTGGTGATCAGGAGGTTCAGAAAGTGGAATGGAAGTGGCCTCAAAAAGCTTACAATTATTGGTCTAAAGTTACTTCATTGCACGTTTTTCACCTATTCATAAAACGATACGTCAGTGCAGTTTTACTCGAATACTAGTGTTTTTAACTCCATCACTTTAATAACATACTTACGACTCACATTATACTATAAATATCCGTCGCTCAAAAAAAAATAAAACTTCAATAATTAATTTTCAAGTAAACTTGGACGCGAAACTCATCCGCTTATACGCTTCGCGACTTTTAGAGAAAATAATTGCGAAAAATAAATGGATACACGTGTGTTTGTCAAGGTAACAAGTTCGCCCATCAAAGCCCCTCACGGTTCGTGATAAAGCCATGGATGGGGAAATGTCCTGCCGGATTTTCGACCATCTACATTAACGAGGCAACTTTGATCGTCTTTGAGATTCAAAAGCTGTAGCCAACTCGGATGGGACTTTCCTGGAAACCGACGAAGCACCCGATCCACCGTCCTCCCCCGTACTTGTGTACCACCTTTTCCGATACACACGTAGACGGTCTTTTGTCTTTACTTATCGTAGGAACGAAAAGCCGTAGGCCATTCATTTTTCGGCCAATTGGGCACAGCATGGAGTGAAAGAGGGACGGATTCGGTAGACAAGGGCTGGAGGGGGGTATGGCACACGTGCGTGGAGGGCACGGGAGAAGGTACGTGCGACTATAGATGTATTATCTCGCGAGACGTCGCCGGTGGCCCATTGTTCCCTCATTTTAATCGGAATTTCAACACGTTCGGTTTCTTTATGTGTGTACGTACTTGCACGAGTCAGCCCCTTTTCCCTTTCAACGGCAGTTTCCGACGGGCCCCCGACCTGTTCCATTTTTCTTCTTCGCTCTCCCTCATAAATTTTACACGAGCAGTCGTCCCACCCTCGGAACGGCATATTTTTCCCTCTCTCTTCACCATCTACCCTTAAATTGGCGTTCAATGCTTGCTCGTATCATACATGAGCAATAACTCTTAAACATACGATTCATGATTATATAAATATAATATTTGAATGTAATTAATAACATAATAATGCAGGTGTACAATATTTATTGATAATAGTACAACTTAAATTGATTATGGAAGTCTTCGTGTACTTCAGGCGATTTTTTGTTTCGAAAACTATTTGTTATTAACATTTATAGGCTTATTCAATGTTATCACCTTCGTGGTAACAACCTAAATAAGTCATCTGACTAAATTGACAATAATATTACTGAACTTTATCTCTGAGTCTTATTGTACCCATTTAAAGATTGCATGCGTATTGAAATAACTCATGTACGATAGTAGCTGTTCTTAAATAGTATGTTGACCTTAATTAATGGCAGCCGTAATACCTATATAAATATTGGCCAGTTTTTTTTTCTTTTTTTTTTTCCAAGATTTAGTTACTTTTTTCCCACCTTGAAGCATCACTCCAGAAGCGAAGAAAGAAGCTTTCCACTTTAAGCTTTCACTCATAAGTTCACAGTGCTAGTCGTACATAAAATTGCACTTCAAAAATATCTAGCTTTGTTTGCATTTAATACCCAACATACGTAAAAGCAGCTGCCATTTAACAGAATGTATGGATAAAATTGTGCATATAAGATCTATTTTTCTAATAGTTTAAAACACCGTTTGTTTCCTCCAAACATTTTTATACACCAGCGAAAGGAAAAGACAGCCCCAACCACCACACATGAAAAAGATGCAAACAGCAACAGCAGCATCAGAATATATATAAATAACAAGAGATATCGTCCGTGTACAATTATACACTACACTTTTCTTTCGAGGTGGCACAGATGAGTGAATGTGTAGTTAGCGATACGAATTTTTCGTTCTTGCGTGCATCGTTTCATGTTAACACGCCTGCAAGTGTGTACAATACCACCTGCGCATGAAGGCCAAATGTTTGAACAAAAGCCTCGTCGTGAGTAACACGATAGTTTGAGCAATATACATAAGTATAAGTACTACGTATAATGACACGCTGTAGCATAGTACACGAGTGCGACGACGGCGGCGGTTCCGTGGTGGCCTCAAAAGATGTGCACGGAGCGAACAAAATCCCCTCGGCACGGGTGGGAGCGCACTTTCGTTTGCGGGATTCCTTTTCACTCGGAACACTGAAAGACACCGAGGGAGGAAGGTAGTTTTTCCAACTTTGTGCACATCTAGTTCGCATTTTCCTCGTTTTTCTGGCTCCCGGCCCCTTTTTTCCTTCCCTATTGTTGTTGCCTTCCCCTTTGTTTTCCGTAGGTTTTCCTCCCTTTGCTCCGTTTTACACGATTTTCTCGACTCACTGTTTTTTGAGTGGCTATTCGCTCGACTCGTCATAAACACACCGATTGTCCACCAAATTTATCACCTACGGATAACACCTTAAAAGGAAGCAAACGATATTCTAACTGACGCACCGGAAAATATCAATGAAGCCCCTCTTTTTTATGTAGGAAAAAAAAAAAAATAATCAAAAATACAGATCCGTAGCTCTGATGAAATAATTAATTCCAACCCTTTGTAATCAAGCAAATATACGCTTTATTTTTCAGACGCGAACTCGAGGAGCATCAGACTGGAAATATTGCCGAGGGATGCGGTGGAGCAGGGCCACGACGCGACGCTGCGCTGTCACTACGACCTCGATGGCAAGCCCCTTTTCGCGCTCAAATGGTACCGCGGCGAACAGGAGATCTACAGGTACTTGCCCAGCCTGACGCCCGCCATCAAAATATTCAACTACACCTGGATCCAGATAGATGTGAGTTCATTTGTTTGACAGCACTGTCGTATTAATTTTTGTTGTCATTGTTTTGGCTGTGACGTGGAGTAGTTTTGTTTATCTTCGTTTATTTCGGGCTTTCCTTTGTTTCACATACCTCGACGCATGAAAGAAAACACCTGCACTATGTTTGTTCGCGATTTGCAAGTCAAACAAAATTTTGACTCGACTATCCCACACCATTCGTTTATTGACTACACAAGCCCGTTTGACAAGCTGTGCTCCTCTAGTATTGAATAATCGGTGCGTGAATCAACCCGCGCTTTTGGTGACCGATCGTCAAGCTTACAAAAAATGTTGAAATCAATGCATTTACATGCAAAGTTTCAAGCTTAAAAAAACATGATGGGTGATGGTCGTACACGTGCACCTAAACGGCAAACATCATTTTTCTTACTAAAGAAACAAAGTACTGTTTTGCGCCCAAGGCCACACTTTGCACTCTATGGTAATCATGCACTTCATGCTCGTAGAGTCGAAATAATAGTTTTCATTAGTGATGCGCAACTCTTCCAGAATAATCACTGATCCCAAGGGCATCAGCAGTGCAAAGGTGCTCGGGCCCAGTGATCGCCCTGGCTGAATAAATTTTAATTTTCCTACCAAGGGCACAGTAAACATTTAAATGTCGAAAAAAAACCTGAGGTAGAAAAAGTTTGTTACTGCCCATCGGCATACAGTGACTAATTGTAAATTTTGTACAATGGAAACTAAGTGCAACTTACGAGTATGAAGGGTACTGTTTTTCTTGCCTTAGTCGTTTTTTTTTTTTTTTTTTTTTTTTTATCCTTGCGCATCCGACAAAAGCAAGTACAAGGAATCCCTCGGGCCACTGCTTGCCCTAGCCATATGCGCCACGAGATATGAAAACTGCTATTTTGCCCGTTTATGCTCGCTTATCACTTGGCGTCCTAGTATGCAAAATAGTGTGCCCTATTACTAAAGTAATTTTTTTTTTTTTCATTTTAGCCTCATAATTCTACCGAAAATCAAGTGGTGATAAAAAACGTTGATTTCCAACTTACTGGCAACTTCAGCTGCGAAACAACTACTGATTCAGAGAGCTTTTACACGCAGAAGAGCTCGAAATTTCTCACTGTTGTTTGTAAGTACCAAATTTTTCATCATTTTCTTACAAATCATTCAACATTGCGAATTGTACTTTTGCTACATGCCTTGCCTTTGCTTAAAATTTTTTTTTTTTTTGTAAAAAATGTTACTGGAAATATTAATCCATTCTTTGGTATATCGTTTTGAAGAGAAATTATCGGTGACATTATATTTTAACAGCAGGACTAGCGCGATGCAATTTAAATGAAAAGCAAACAATTTATTCCCGCGACTCCCCAAAATTTTTCAATATTCCATACACCAGCAAAAGTACGTGCCTTTCCTTCTCCATTTCATTTTTCGCCTCGACTCCCAACAATTACATTACACACACACACACGAGTCCAGTCACCCCCAGCCACTGCACAGCAGCTTCGTCTCGCTCCTTTCCACCGATTTAATCAGCTCTTGGCGCCCGAAAATTGGATGAGCTCCCGCGGCTAACTGGAAAATGACGTGATCATCGCGCACGTCCCTCGCCCTTGCACCTACCCCATATCATATATACAACATGTACACTTGCGGAGGGAAAAAGGGAGTCGCTGTTGCAAGAGTGTATGTGGTTGACTCAAGGTTTTGTGCTTTGATTATTGTTGCGTTCCAGCCATACCTAAGGATAAGCCCGTGATCATGTCGGAGCGTGCCCACTACTCTCCCGGCGACACTCTCAAGGCGAACTGCAGCACGACGCCCTCCAAGCCGTTGGTCACCCTCTCTTTCACCCTTAACGGGGCTCAGGTTAGTTGGATACTATTTTGTAAAAAAAAAAAAAAAACTTATGTGTCACGGTCACTAGTAAGTTACAAGAAAAAGGAAACTCTACTTTAAAACAAGGATTTTGTGACATATGCTGCTCAAATTTAGAATTGTACGTCCTGAGGGTAGTCTGACCGATCCAAATTTTTTTTTGACTAACTGTTTTTATCGAGGCCTCTTGCACAATAATCATTGTTAATTTTTTCAATACAAATGATTGCATCTATACACAAGGCCAATAAAAATGGCTACCGGCAAAACATGAAATTTAAAGCCAAAGCACTTTGTGCCATGCCTTAAATTGTTTAATTATGTCACATAATGGTATGAGCTTTGGATATAAAGTACACTGAGGAAAAAAAATAGTTAAAATTATAAAGAAATTCCAGCGAAAATTACCATGCTGCACAGTAAATGGAATGCAAGCTGGCAAAAAACAGAAAAGTTATTACTTTCAACAGTTACAAATTATGGTTCAAAAAGTAAAAATTTTTATTTCTTTCTTTACCGTTCCAGCATGATAATTTTTACACTTCTAATTATTCAAACTAAAAATAATAACTTTTTCCTCTTTTGCCAGCTTGAATTCGACGCGCAGAATGGTAATTTTTTCTGGAATTTCTCAATAATTTATATTATTTTTTTCTCTCAGTACACAGTCATTATTGTTGCTGATGTTATCTTGTTTTCCACTACTTCACTTTCCTTCTCAATTCCCTACCGAGTTTCAACACTCTGAACTTCTGAAAAAAAATTATTTTTCTACCTCAGGTGTGCCCTCGGTAGAAAAAATAGTGTTTGGCACACAAGTGACATCTCTGCAGGGCTGCAGTTCCGCAGGACCCTCAGGCTGCAAAATAGCCCCCAAGGTGATGGCAGTTCTGTGACGAAAATTACCAAATTCAACGATGTACAATACTCTTATAATGTACCTAACTGATCCTTATTTATTGATTGTAATGCATACCAAAAAAGTATTAATGTTAAAAGTTACTCACTTTTTCCGTATATCATTTGCGTTGAAAAATAAGAAAGCGAATTGAAGGAAAAATATTTATTTTTACGAAATGTAATCCCAGTCGCACGTTCCAAAAGAGCTCGATGTATTTTCGGAACGTAGGAAAATACTGAATTGAACGTCTACACTACAATAGTACAGGTACAAGAGATAGAAAAAAAATTCCGTGGAAAGCGTTTATTATCATTATAGATGGAAAAAAAATATAGTCAAGAGAAAACAGCTTGCGGGGAAATCCTGCCCTGAAAGTAGGGGGTCGAAGGGTAGCACAGCCCCCCCGGCATCCCGTCTACCTCCTCGAGGGGGTAGGGTAAACACCCCAGGATCGTCAGAGCTACGTACACGAGAGAGCAAGTGCCGCAGATAAGCGTAATACCAGAAGCGACTATCTCGTGTGTGTGGCAGAAAGAGCCGCACGTAATGTGGAATCGAAAGCACGTTGCCGTTCGCCCAAAGTAGTGGATGTTTACCCCTAAGGAGCGAAGCACAAGACAAGTGCGGATCATGTGGCGTGACGATGGTTGACGTCCCCGTGCTCGGATAAGCCCCCACTCGGCATCAGGACGATTATTCGCCCTCGTTACTTTACACGCCTAAGCGTATATGCTGCTACAAAGTGGGTGCCATAAACACGTGGAGCTTTGGGTGGGGATTTGGTACGCGTGCATTGATTGTTTGAACGAAATTTGAGAAAAAGTTTTTTGGAAAAACGAGCAAAGCCTTATAAGCAAACCTCGTGCATGTATACATGGGGCACGTGCCAAGCATGTGTTTCAAAGGTTGCGGCGGGCGTTGGTGTGATTGTCGAATATGCGGCCTGGGAGCGTGTGTACATTATACTTGGCAAGCGGATGTTTTGGAAACCCATAAATCAGGTCAGCGCCGAAAAAATGGCTGTAGCACGAGTGCGTTGGTGTAATTGATCGTTTGTTTACTGGAGAGTGAAAAAATTCACAGCGCGTAAATAAATACTTTATGGACAAACTTTCAAAGGTCTCCCGGGAAGTGGGGGAACGATCGTCGGCCCATTTTTTTTTTTTTTTTTCATTTTATTTACCTTTGACATTTTTAACTGTCAGGGTTCAACGTCAAAATATTTTTAAAATGTTTATTTTTCACGGTTTATGGAGCCAAAGGTGCTCGTATTTCTCGTATAGCTTATATTTGTGTTAACTAGGATTTATAACAAAAAAAGGTTTTCCATTTTTAAAAAATTAGATGGTATTATAATAAAACGATAGTTATTTTTCTACTTTTGACGATTTGATTACATTCACTGAATTTTAAAATTCATCCATAAAAATGACTGAGGAAACCATTCTTCCAAATGTTGCACCAGCCATAGAAACAGAATTAATTTTCAATTGTAACGAGTGCATAATAAATAATCAATGATTAAAATAGGCAACCACATTAAATCAAATGACTAAAAAATTATCAAGGATTCAGTAAGTCATAAACTTTTTTTTGTAACTTCAAGGGTATCTCATACTTTATAATTTTTTCGAAACTTTCACAAATCCAGAGTTTGTTGTAAAAATCTCAAAAGCTGATGAAACGAAATACGATAAATTTTAAAACTTTGAGCAACAAAAGGAGATGTCATTTCTCAGATCTGCACGTAGCTGTTATGTAACATTATTCTGTTACTACCTAATTATCTAACCAGTAACTATACATAGCGTACACACGATGCATCGACAGTGTACACATATAATAGAGCAAAATGCCAAGAGTTCGAGGCATTTGATGGATGCATTTCGTAGCACGTTTAACCAAGTATAGACAATGAATTCGTTGTTGCCTGGTGGGTTGGATTACTCGAGTGCCTCGTTATTCGAGAAAGACATCTCGAGTTTCAGAACAGAACAAACAGCTTGTTTCTCAGCCCGTACCTGCCTCCTCCTCTCTCGTTCTCGCTTCCTTCCCGTATATTTATATAACTACGGCCGTAGAGTGAATAGGCCACAATGGTTCCACGAGAAACCTAATAAATGTAGGGAAGGACGACCTGACAAAGGCAATCGCTCCGCTCGAGTTTTTCTACACTATACCTTAAACAAATGCTTAGCTCCCCTACGTGCACCTAAACGTGTCTACGTTCGAGTATACACTACGGTGTAATCAGCAAAGGAAGACACTGGATGAAGCATATTTTGCGAGCGTGCATATGCGAGTAATTATTAAAACATCTCAGGCCGTAAAATGTTTCTCACAAATTTTATTAGTGATACTGTATATGGCCTGCAAAGCTTAAAACTTTTCTGATTACAGAAAAATAGTAAAATACTTCCTGGAGTTTAAATTAACTCTGTGTGACAATGATACGCAAAGCTTAAAAGGATGTAAGGAATTTCTAAGAAATTGACTTTTACTTTGATTTTTGTACAGGTTTGAAATTTCAAGGAAAACAAATTTTTTTTTTTAATGACAGTTAACAAAGCGACAGTCCTCCGAGCTGCGAGTAAGTGGTTTTGCATGAGATTTCACACTTATCAAAATCGAATGAAAAAAATGTCATATTCTGTAAAAATATCCACATTTCTCACTGATACAAACGCTCTTCTTCTACGTGACTCTGCTTATGAGATACAAGCCTTTACAAGTTTTACAAGCCATTTTTTGTGAAACTGCATCATTAATTTAGTGTAGTGTATGTACTCGTCGGAGATTTAAAAGTACCCAAAGCCAAACTCAGTATTTGGTGGGACCTCTGTTATGATTCAGCTTCGTTTACTCTAATATACATCAGATTTTTTTATAAGCCTTAAGTTTACAGTAAATGTAGTTACATAGTTACACGATGTTTAGCAACAACTGCGTTTCCTTTCACGGTCAAATTCGCCATGGAAACCAAAAAACTCGTATGCGCTCTTTGGAGCTTATTTCTACAATAGTACACATATGTAGTACATGTAAAACGATGCAAGTGAGACCTATATATACCCTCTCCTTTCATCCATTAGTTTTCTCCTCTACCTCGAGAATTCGGTTAAACCAACTTTGGATATGTATATCTTCATGCTACTCCTGCTAATGCTGCTGTTAAACGAGATACGAACTTACTTTTTTTTTTTGTCTTCAGTTGATACACGCGTAAGCTACCGTAATGACGCAATAACTATAAAGCTCCTGTTTGTCCCATGCCTCTAGGTTGTTTTTATCTGGACACAGGTGTTTATTTCGCAGACGTGTCGAGATAAGAAAAGTTTGGAACTTTTTTCATGTGTAAGTAGTACATTTTTTTTTTTTTTTTTTTTAAGGTAGTGATATCACATTTTACCAGCCAAATGTATTTTAAGCAGTGGTCGATTTTTCTTTCTTTGTTTATTGTGGTACTGTTTACGATTGATATTGATCCCATGAAAAAACAGCCGCAGTCGAGGTTCTGCCAAAAAGACAAATAAATCAAGATGATTTACTCACCGGCCGACTAGTCCATTAAGACCCGTATCGAGGACAAGGAGGGGGGTAATCGCCGCAATCGGGAGCCCAGCAACGACGCCCTTGGACAATGCATGCCGATAACCGATACGGACCGCACTGCATCTCCGGTGGATCGGCCCATCATCGGCCAATGGAATTATACACAGGAGACAGTCGTTCATTCGCTTGGGGTGCCTGGAGAGCTTCAACGCTCCACTCTTCCTCCTCTCGCTGCTCTGATTTATGAGCTCAAAAGCAACGGTGCTATCCGTACACCAGCAAAACGTGGACTCTCGGGGGTCGTTTTGCGCTTATCGATTCTGATTTCCTTCAAGTGTCATGTACATCACCTCACGTTCGCCAAGATCTATCCGTTCCTGGTAAAAAGAGAAACATACCCTAACTTGATTACCCCCACCCCCTCAGTGCACGCTGGCGTCGGAAAGTGCCTCTACTTCTCCGGTGCAACGAGCCGTAACGGGACTACTTGCGATAGCGTCTCGGGGAATTTCATTCTCAGTTTACGTTTTGTGCCGTGACATCGCCTCTCCTTTTGTTTTTCGCCTCTTCATTGCATTTGTACCATCTCCCTTTCGTCTTCCAGCTGATGATGCTCTGTTTTTTTTTTTGGCTTGATCTTTTTAAATGGTTTCTCTCCATGATATGTATGCAATACACCTTTTTGCGTCACAAGTGTGTTATGCCAGCGGTGAAGGCCACCTTACGAATGAATGTTCGACTGAGAACCAAGAAAATTGTACTACGAAGTAACGTAAACTGTTAAGAAGAAGGTTTACCCAGCTACACCAAATATTTGAAGCTACGAGAATATATGGCCATAATTTAGAGAAAAAAAAATTGAAAAAAAAAACAATGAGCAAGAATTAAGTCAAATCAACTAGTTTTAATATCGGCGAGGAAGATTTTTCTCTTCATTAAGGCACTCAGAAGGCAATCAGAATTTCTAACTCAAGACCATAACTCATCAATCTAACTGAAGAAAATAGTCAACCTGGTCAACTCTCTAATGATGACAGCAGAAACTTTGACGAAATGTCACAAGTAGTGCAGGAGCTAAAAAACTGCAGAGCATCTGCAACAGTGATAAACTATTCAACAAAATTATCAAGTTCTACCAAGCTCAAATGGCAAATGAACTATTAGTCATCTCAAAAGTTACTCGCCGAAAAACCAATACCCCCTCGATTTCGATACTCCCCGAGCACTCGCCTACAGCATCAAAGCAGTACCCATACAGGAGCACAGATACTTTGTCGGAGACGTGCAGTGCTCCAATCTCAGTTTGGGATTCTCTCGGCGCTACCTTTTGCGACTGGAAAGAGGAGGAGGAGCCGGTGAAAGTGTTGGAGCGTAAAGCTCGCATTAAGTACTTGGCGCTTCCGCCCGACTGCACCATCCCCCTGTACACGGGAACCGATGAAGCGCCCACTCGCCTCCTCCTCCATGGCTTTCTGAAAACTATTTGCTCTTCGATCTTGTCCCGCGCATCCATAATGTATATATGTATGCGCTTCTCGCGGCAGCGCATAACGCGAGTCCTCTTCTCTCATTCGAGCTGTGCCTCTCGGCCCATTCGAACGGTGAGCCCTGAAACCTCGAGAGAATCGTTTTGGTTCCTCAATGGTATGTATACTATGGCACCGAGTTTAGATGGGTATTATCTTGCAATACGAATGTTAATCATTTATTTATCTGGAAACAAAGAAAAATATTTGAAATAAAATGATGATACTTGTTATTAACTAAGAAAATCACTAAATTTTTCCAACTTAAATCTCTGGAGTATTAAAGTCTCGATTTTTGAAATGCTTTAAAATTTGATAATTTTTATGAAAATGTTTTATGATATAAATACACACTGTCTTTGCTTATTGTCTCGTACAGAAACATGAGAAAAATTAACGCTATGCCATTGGTAGAAGTAATATAACAATGGAAAAGAAGTGAGGTGAAAGAGAAGAAAAGAAGCACGTTGCTCAAGTAATCTCGGAAATCTCATTTATTCCTTCCACAAACATATTACAAAGAATCTTTTACGCAATTCATGCTGAAAATTACAAAAAATGTCGTATTAAATTGTCAATTTCGATATTAATTAAGCTGCTGAAAATTTTTCGTCCTATAAATATCTGTACTATCAAAATTTATTCAATAAAAAATTGAAAGATCGAGTGAACTTACCTGTAATTGAAACTCGATCAAGATTGTACGATCTGCCTCGTCCGAATAGATCAAACACGTAGTATCGCTTATCCAGTTAGTTAGATGCTACTTACCACAGAATATTTTAAAACTTAAAGGTTTTTGGCGCTCACTGCGGGTGGCGCTGCTGTGTTACTGTCGTTTGTGTCAGTCTGTCAGCTTCACCCGCTCCATGTTGTCATTATTTCAAAGCAATTTCAAAGTACGAAAGTGGGGGATGGGAACCTCTTCTGGGAGGGTTTTGATCTATTCGGACGAGGCAGATTGTACAATCTTGATCGAGTTTCACTTACAGGTAAGTTCACTCGATCTTTCAATTGTACTTCTCTGCCTCGTCCTCTAGATCAAACACGTAGATGTTTAAAGTACCTTTCGTAGTTTGCAATTTTGTTTCATGTAAGAGGATGGTGAAAGACGTAAGAACACTGGTTTTGATGTAATTTTATGTGAATATATTAAATTACGGTACATAGATTTTTATGTTACAAAGGACGCATATGCGAAGCTTTGTGCTGGTTTATGTCATAAATTGTTATAAATTGTTTATAAATTTTATGCTCTTTAGGTGCTTAAGTAAGTTTTAATTTTCTTATTGAATCACTAAATTGTGATTTTTAATAAAGAAATTCATCAGAGTTGTCATAATGTATCTCACTCTTTTGTCCCTTACTGTAAATCTGAAGTTACATTTACCAAACAACACTATATTACAATAATTTGAAAAAAGAATCAATAATACTGATAACACTCGTTTGTAGTGGTGTTTGTAGACTGTCGAGAAGCTTAAACAATGACTAGCTTCATTCACCATTTATGAAAAAAAAAGATTTTACTTCTAAAATACATGACGTTCCTCATCCAGGATAATATTATCGATTGCTTAAATTGTACTTTATACTTTGAAATGTTGGTGTTAAAAATAAATCCATGGCTGAAAAACCTTTAAACTTAACCAATTTAAACAGCATTCAAGTAGATTGGGGTGTATCAATTTCACTGACTATATTTTTCATCAAAGTTATTGAACAGAACATTGTTCAGAAATAATATTCAAAGCACTTAAGATACCTATGTCTAGATACTACGAGATAATGCTGTTATGTCGAAATCGATCGACTTACCCAAATAACGCAATAAAAACTACAGATTTAGAGTACATTATTTAACTCGAAAATGAGTTTGTCTACACTCTTTTAGTATACAGCAGGCAATAATGACGATAATAAAGTTTGTATAATATCACGTATACACGTGTCTGCTTCATCAACAGGTGAAAGACACAGAGACGAAGCAGAGCCTGGAGAAGCACGACTACAGCGGATACTCGGCCGGTGGCGGTCGCTCGCCTCGTCAGGGCAAACAGTGGAGCGAAATAAGTCTTCAGCTGCAGCCGTTCCACTACACCAAACAGGGACACCTGAACCTCCTCTGCATCGCCAAAATCCCAAACATCTACGAGCAGGCGAGCGAAGTCCTGCACCTCGGCACTGGAGTTGGCGACCCCGTGCCCGAGAGAGGTAAGCATTTGCCATTCATTGTTTGATCCCTATCTCTGGACGGATGCTGCCCCCCTTTCCATCTCATGCCTTTCCAACATAACTCGCTCTCTAATTTGTACCAAAATCAATTTCACGTACTCAATAAGCTTCAACACACACGTTAGTAATTAATCACATTTTATCTACAGTGTATATTATACAGTGCACAGTGTAGATTATTTGAAAAAGTTGCAAGTAGCAAAAAACGTATATTCCTATCTTACCTCATTTATTCCTTTGTATGTTTGGTACAGTTTAATTAAGTGAATTTGATTTTAAAAAATCGATTGTATGGAAATGACGTTCAACCAGTGACTTGAGCGAACAGTACTTCAACATCGAATCAAATCTACTATTCAAGCAAGTACTATTGCCTCATTTATAAGTAAATTACTTTTTTAGTTTATGACAATCGGGCTCCAGAAGGCATGTTTGCATAAAAACAAACCTTGTTGTTACAAAAAATCAATTTATTAATAAGGTTATTTGCTTGAAAAAAACCTCTGTTTGGACGTTAATGACGTTATAATAGGTAATCACCAAAAAAAAAAAAAAAACTAATTATAATTAGATGAGTATATTAAATTATTTGTGCAAATCAAGAATCCCTCTTGCACGAAAAACTGCTACATAGTTTGCTTGAATTTTTTTGCAGTGACATCAAAGGTAGTGAGCAACAGTTGTCACAGGATTGCCGATCTCACGCTTGTCGCTCTTATCATAATCAACCTACGTCATCTAAGATAGTCACATAAACCACTTCATTTTAGCATTTAAAAAATGCGAAAAAATACGTAAACGTGCAGGTACGCGCCTCATGCACACACACTTAAGTCAGTTTCCATGCAGACATAGACGGGACAGTAAATTAAAAAATCAAATAAGCAAAGTTCCATCTCTAACTTATCTTTTTGAACTTTTGAGTTCTACAATGTAAGGTCCACGAAAATTATTAGACCACCTCATAGTCTATATCTGATGTACGTAGTAAATAATGTACATTTATTAGTTTTGGCGCTATTTGATGTTTGACATTGTTAATATCGAAGTTGATACAATACCTAAGAGGTTTGTTCACGTATATGATGAATATATGTATACAAACGTCGACTGAACGTTGCAAGAGTATAGGGTTATAGGAGCAAGTAAGGGGGTATAGGCATGCAAGTGTAAAGTTACCTAATTACATAAAAAATGATAGATATGTTTAACGAATTCTTGTTATTACTCTCAACGTGTTACAGTGATAAAAATTGGGTGATTAGCGAAATTTACATCACACCAGTTGAGAGCCTAGAAAAATACAAACAACAATAGTTGTAATGTTACAGTAATGTTGTAAAATTACAACTGTTGTTACTTTAATTTTTCTGGGCTCTCAACAAATCTGCTGCGAATTAAGCTAATCTTCCATAACTCATCGCATTTGTGTAAGACGCGGCAACAACGAAAGAAATTTTTGACTGCAAATAGTGCGTCGATTTATAACCTATACATAAATATATACCTACCTGTTGTATGAAATTCTTCGTCAAATTGACATGATGAATTTTTAATGTATGTATACTTTGTATATATTGACTAATATACGTTAAGTGAACGTGTTTATAAGAATCTGATGGGATTAGAGTAAAATGGCATGCATGGCATCGGAGAGATGTACCCAAACATACTTACGCTCCAACAAAATCGTATTTGCGGCAAGCGTTAAAAAAATTTGTATCTAAGTTAGTTAGATCCCAATACCTGAATCAGGTGTTGTCTAATAATGTAATCACATGATTGTTACGTTGTCTTGTAATATGTGATAATCAATCAATAAGAAAGTTATTAATATTACGTAGTTTAATGAAAAAATAAACAAATAAATAAAAATTGAAAAAAAATAAGCCGAATGGTAGTTAAATACATTGTGGCAAACATTTTTTTACTTTCCTACGTTAATTAAATTACAAATCTTGGTTTATCTTTCGTATTATTTACTCCTGAAGTTTCTTCTAACGTAAGCTTATGTGTATTTTTCGTGTTACACATGTAAGTTGTCAGATGTGTGAGAATCAGAGTAATTTTCATACACTTCAATTTGTATTGTAATATGTTTTGTTACAATTTAAAATAAAAAGTTTATTTTAAAATAAATGAGTGTCAAGTGTCAACTTTTTTAAAGCATATAAATCCCTTTTTCTTAGAGTCAATGGTATGTATACTATGGCACCGAGTTTGGATGGGTTCTATGAACAACGTCGTTGTTACACAGTTACTGTACTTTGTCATTATGATTCATAGTTTTACTAGCTAAGGAAAATAAAACTAATAAAATTCAAAATCATTCGAAGATTTGTATACACGAGTTCAGGTATGAATTAAAATGTAGTTCACATAAAATACCTTAAATAAGGCAGTGTTTGGTTTAACAATCGATTCAGAAGCTACAAATTTNAATATGTTTTGTTACAATTTAAAATAAAAAGTTTATTTTAAAATAAATGAGTGTCAAGTGTCAACTTTTTTAAAGCATATAAATCCCTTTTTCTTCGAATTTATAAATATTTCAAATGATAGTAATTTAATTTTTTTCATTTGATATCACAGTCTGAAATGTCAATACCAAACTAATCAACTACATGAAAACATCGTAGCAGTACATTATGTTCATAAAGTGGATTCTATTGTAAGCCAACCAACGTTAAAAATTTTTTTCCTGCTCATACCTTGGATATTCTGGCACTATTATTGTGTAGTAGCATAAATAATAGTACAAATACTGCTGGACAACATCAAAATACAGTGTGAACGGCAACTGTTGTGCCAAGTAACATTTATAATAATTATACAAATACAGAAAAAATAGCTATGTTACTTAATAAATATATTTCTTTGTTTATAAACATAAGATTATGATAACTAAGTCCATAAAGTTGAATTTTGTCATTACACAACTAACTTATTTCTAAAATATTTCTGGAAATTATAAATATGTACTCTATACACACTTATATTATTATCATCATTATCGTACAAATAAGTAAGATTTAAAAATCTAAATAATTTTTTCGATTTTTGAGTATCGATTTGATTGAAAAAGGTAAGTTTTAAGCATTGTACCGTCATCAACGCTATGTTGTCACAAAAAGTTTTAGAAATCATGGAATTTTCAATAAAATAATGTATTTTATGAAATACAAAAAGTATGAAGGTCAGGATATACGTTTGATTACTCATGTGTGCAGTTATAAGTCTCTATTTAATGGACTAATTTTTATCCAAGATGGCTTTGTATTTTCGTTTCAAGATTTTAATCACCTTAGAAAAGGAAATTTTTGGTTGCATGGCTTTTTTTTCTTGTAACAAATCTATTTTTTGGAACAGTGCATGTACACATTATAGTAGATAATTCCACAGCTCATCGACCATGAGATTTTCAACATAATATAAATCAAATTAAATTTTAAAAAGAAGTCAGTATCACAAACGTGGGTGTCATAAGATTTCATATGTTTTTCCTCTGGGTATTTGATGATCAAGTGGGGGCACAGAGAAAATCCAGTCGATTAGGTCAAAGGTAGAATATAGGCACTAGCCCATCATCGATATGATAGCTCTTTCCCCCGATCGGTGCGTACATGCGAACGCGAGCCAGCCATGCCTGGGTTTTTCATTACCCCCCTCGAGCCACCCCCGATGCACCGAAGCGTTTACGGGCTAATGCACGCCACGATGAGCCCACCTCGATCGCCAAGCCAATTACCGTAATCGATACTTGCGAGTAGGTGACAGCGCTGCAACTGGCCACAACAAGCACAGGCGCCATCGAGTGCGAACTTTGACGCTCTTTTTCCCTCCCGTGGCACGAACATGTTATGCAATGGGTGTTTCTTTGGTATTTATTGGCGGTCACCCGATCCCTTTGGCTACCTCCTTTTCTCACTCCTCCACATCGTGTTCCTCCGACAAGAGCCTCGGAGCCGGAGAACAAAAAGCCAAGAGGACAATCGTTCGCTGGAAAATAGGCTCTCCTGCGCGTATAAATATCCACTTACTCCGATATTAAAACGCGAGGCAATAAAGGCCGGCCGCTGCAAAGGCAAAGTGGACACGTTAGTGCATTACATAGGACGTACCTTGAACGCATATACAGCGAACATAGGGGGAATTAATCGATCTCGATGTGGTGAGGAATAAAAAAAATAACAATTAAAATCTAACATCAGCAGATCCACATCCGGTTTGTACAGCATCGTCAAGTTGAAAAAAAAAAAAAAAAATCGAGTCATTATCAACGAATGGGAAGAGACGAGATACGTCTATGTACTTGAAAAATGATGAAACGACGTGACAGACATACTTGTACATAGAATAAACAGGAAGTAGAAGCGAGAAAGAGTGTTGTGCAAAAGTGGATAGAGACAGGAGAAGAAGTGGCAGCAGATCTCGACCATTGCTCTTGTGGTGCTCCGGGATTCCCGGCCCCGAGTCTTGCCCACTCGTGGCTCCCAATGAAGGTACACGGGAAAAAGAGGAGGAAAAGGCGAAGCGATTTAACTTTCTCGCCAACAAGCAGCAGTTGGGCCCACATCCAGCACAGCAGCCCAGCGCTATCTTTTGCCTCTATCGCCCCATATCTCACGGCCACGTCAAAAGCTCAGCGCGATGTGCGTCTTTCCCTCGATTCTCTAGCTTAGATAAGCCAACTTTTCAAACTGTCACAGCAGTACCACTGTACAACAAGTGTCCAAGCGAAAAAGTAATAAACAAAACAAAAAGTAATAATGAAAATAAAAGCAGAGCACACAGCAAAGTCGCCATTTATTCATTTTATTTCAAAAAGAAGGATATTGAGATGGTAAGTAATCCAGAGAAGATAATAAGAGAGGGATTGTATGAATCGCTGATGAATGAAAATCTCACAAACAACTTGACTTTTTCATATAGAGTTTAAGTAAAGGAATGAAAAAAAAGAGAGATCAACTCACCACGGACTGATGAGCTTTATACTTTCCTTGACCTCCTTCTTGTGTACCACAAAGTTTTTCCCCTCCGATCGGATTTCGTTTACTTAAGAAATTTAAAAAAGCTTTATCTTCCGTTGTGCCTACTACCGCAGCTGCAACTGTTGCCATGAAAGGATTTCACTTCTGTTTTTGTTTTCTCCCATGCGTTTCTCTTCTCTCTCTTTATTTTTATACCCATCTAAAGTTCTCATTTTGGAATATTCTATCATAGTAAAACATGATTATTATGGTCTAAGTGATGATAATCAACACAAGTAGTAAAAAATGATGTAACAGTGCTAACATTGATGAATTAAAATAATTTCAAAAATTCATACAAATATGGTTATACTTTTTTTTTCTGGTAAAAAAAGGATCATCCGTACATTGGATGCAAAAATGTAACGTTTAAGCACTTGCTTTGTAGAAATTTACTATGATTCTTTTGATACATACACTTATGTTGGATGGCCTATTTACATTTACAGATTAAAACTTTTTTTTGTAGATTCTTATCAGGGGTATTCAACACCCTCTTAACCACACTGTCATTCATACATTAATAATTTCTTAACAATGTATAGGACCTTGAGTCTATAATTTATTGCAAAATAAATTCAAATCGACTCCGAGATGAAAGAGCCGACTACTAACTTTAATATGTATTTTTTTGATTCATTGTAAAATTTTTAAGAAGCTATTACAGTTCAAGACACTAGAAGAAGCAAAGACAGTTTCTTAAATTACAAAGTTAATAAGAAACTCATGAAACTGCCATCAGCATTTCTGATAAAACATGCCACGAGGATCTACTTTTTTTCAAACAAAATTAAGGAAAAGTCAGTTCTCGTTACACTACACAACAAAATTGTTTCATAATTTAAATCGCAATCACTGAGGGCGTAAACTTTTCAAACCGAAGTGAGTCTCGAAAGACTAAACTTGAGCCAAACGGAGTAATATATGTTGGTCTTAAAAGCAAACGAAATTATAGTGAACAGGGTATTTGAATACCAACCTAGGCGCATAAAAAGCGAAAAGCTGTAGCTATTACGATACAATCGTGGTACATTGAGTTGGAAACCCCGGATGCGTTTGCGTGGTTTTAAAAAGCTCTCCAACCTCATCACCTTTCAATTAAAACATGTGCAATGTGGTCCTCTTTCGCGCGTCAGCGCCCAGCGATTGCTCCAAGCAAAGGGATCATCTAGAAAGTTGTTGTAAACAGAGATATGCAAAAGTGCACTCGAACTTTGTGGCATGAGGTAGTGGGGCGTCACTTCTCTCTATCCGCATTACGACGCGTCCAACTTGTGGGGTGAAAGGGAAAGGGTGGGAATGATGATTGGTTGGTGGGCACCGCAACTTTCCGAGCCAAGCCGCTGAATTACGTGGTTCATTCTGCGTGAGAAGGCCTTTCGGCTTTTCATCTGCTACTGCTCCTATACTTACTTCGATACCGCACCCTTGAATCTCCTATTTTCGTATAAATTCTAACGTGATCAATACCGATGTCATTTTCACTTGTTGGCGACTCTAATCCGAGCTGATGAAAGAAAACTTGTAATTCAGATGTAGTTGACGGTACTTTAACATCGAGAATTCGATCAAAAAATAGTTCTGCGGGACTGTACGAAAAAATGTATAACACATTTACGTAACTCATTTTTGATTAGTGGGATGACACTGGATGTGGTCTGGATGCATCACATGACCATGTGACCACCCCATGAAAAAATAATTATATGTCTCATTGGAGCTACACACATACTTAATCATTTTCGGGTCATTTCACGAAAAATGCAATTTGATCAGAAGTAGAACTTTCAAAGATTAATTTAAAAATTCTTTTCAAACTTACGTAGATTTTACATAAGCTAGAAACTCTTGAGTCCGATTCTATGGCCAATTTCAATAAATTACAATACGATATGTAACAAGTTAAACATAGTGGTAGCGCTACTGCTAATGATGCTTAAGTGAGCATTTTCGA